GAGACAGCATCTCACTTTTGTTAAGGCTGGTTTGAATTCAAGATCCTCCTGCCTCAGCCTCCCGAGCCACTGCAATTACAGGTGTGCACCACCATGCCTGGCCCAGCTAAACTTCTTTTTACTAAATTCTTATTTTCCCTACCCAACTTGGCAGGGTTAGTGCAATTAGAATTTCTTCTTGAAGGTTTGAGTCTCAAAATCGTGAACTCCTATAAATTGATGCCAGAAACAAGAAAAATAATCAAAAGTAAATTCTTCCCTAGGCATGTGATTTGACAGTATTTAGTCACTGATACTGTGGGGATTTTATAAAGAATGTCTGTTAAAATTTTTTCTTCATAATCCTACTGGGACTCCTGCCTGAGGCAAATTATAAATAAATGGATATAGGGAATCAACACAAACAACAAAAAAACTTTCAAGTATCATAAATGCCAACATATCAGGAACTCTTTACCTAGTGAGGGAAATTTAGCCACTTTTAGCTCCACAGAGCTGCCTAGGAGTTGAACAGATATTTCATTAAGCAGGTGTTTAAGAATACAATATTATATTAAAATTAAATGTCCTACCACAGTAAGATCTTTTGTTTTTGGTGCTGGGAACTGAAACTAAGTGTGCTATACCAATGAGCTTTACCAGCCTTTTTAATTTTTTGAAACAGAGTCTTGCTAAGATGCTGAGGTTGGCCTTGAACTTGTGATCCTCTTCCCTCAGCATCCTGAGTTGCTGGGATTATAGATATGGGTCATTGTGCCTGGCAAGGTTTTCTGATGGTTATAATTATACTAAATAAAAAGTTAACACTCACCTACATTAGTCAACTTTATGTTGCTGAGACCAAAATACCTGACAGAACAACTTAGAGGAGGAAAAGATTTATCTTGGCTCACAGTTACAGAGGATTCAGTTTGCGGCTGGCTCTATTGGCTGAGGTGAGGAAGAACATCACAGTGGCAGCAGCCTAAGAATGTGGTGGTGGAAGTCATCAGCTCATGGCCAAGGGCATGCCCCCAGTGACCTACTTCCTCTAGCTACACCAGCAGTCAATCACTCAGTAGTCTGTTTGAATTATTAACACATCAAATGAGTTAATCCACTGATGAGGTTAGAATCCCCATGACTCAATCACTTCCTAAAAAGCTCCTCTCTCTGGAGGTTGCTGCATTGCTTCTAATACATGAGTTTATAGGGAACATTCCAGATTCAAATGATAACACTCCCTTAACCCTCAACACACATTCATTCATCCTCTCTCTCTTTATTATATGCACACAAGCATTCCCCCCCACCTTTTTGTAACACTGGGGATTGAACACAGGTGCACCCCACCTCCCTTTTAATTTTGTGACACTGTCTCCCTAAATTGCCTTAAACTTGCAACATGATCCTCCTGCCTCAATCTCCCAAACAGCTGGGATTGCATTCATACACCACCCTCTTTTCAAAAATAAATGTTACTTTTTCACATCAGAAGATTTCCACATTTTTTTTTTAATCTTAGTAATGGATATTGAATTCAGGGGCACTCAGCCACTTCCCAAGCCCTATTTTGTATTTTATTTACAGACAGGGTCTCACTGAGTTGCATAATGCCTCGCTAAGTTGCTGAAGCTGACTCTGAACTCGTGATCCTCCTGTCTCAGTCTCCTGAGCCGCTGGGATTACAGGCACGTGCCACAGCACTACCTGGCAGAAGATTACCATTCTTAAACAAAACAGTGTACCAAAATGTAAAGGGCTGGTGGCTCCAAAGTCAATCAATGTATCTATCTTTATACTATTTATTGAGAGGGAGGTCTCACTATGTTGCCCAGTGGTTTCAAACTCATGGACTCAAATGATCCTCGCTCGGCTTCCTGAGTAGCTGGCATTATAGGTAGGCATCATCAAACCTACCCTGAGACTCGAATGCAAGAGTATTTTTAACAGACTACATTGGGCAAGTCACTCAAAACTCTTGCCAATTGTAAGAATTCAGCATGATCTAAAAAGAAGCAAAACAAGCCAAGAAGTTAAGGCACACAACTTGGGAAGCTGAGGCAGGAAGATCTGAAGATTGTGGCCAGCCCCAGCAATATAGTGAAGCCCTAAAAAACTTTGTGAGATTGTGTCTCAGAATAAAAAAATCAAAAGGGCTGGGCACATAGCTCAGTGGTAGAGCACCCCTGAGTTCAATCCCCAGTACCACAATCAATCAATCAATAAATCAATACTATTTTATTAAACAAAATGTAGCTATTTACCCTATGCTTCACTTCCATTACCATTTTAACCTCCCTCTACCCCTGGCTCCTATCTTATGTAAGCTGCAATGACTTTAACACATGAGCTTTTGGGGAACATTAAACTACGAAAGCAAAGCTAGGCACCGTAGAGAAAAGGGTTCAGACACGGATGAATTACAGTTCTGAAGCTTTGCAATCGCAAATGCAGACGGATTACAAGTACACTTCAGCTAGTTTACTGGGATTTATAAATTCTAAAATTAAAGAGCTGGGTCTCCTTAAAAAAAAAATACAATCAACTCTTTATACACAGGGGTTGCTGCCTCAAAAGATCAAAACTCAAAGAAGCATGTGACTATTAGATGAACATCATGCATACACCAACAAAGCCAATGAAGAAAGGACATATGTCGGAAAGGACATATGTCAAGTAATAATGTGTGAAAAGGGGCTGGGGTCATGGCCAGAGGTAGAGTGCTCACCTAGCATGCGTGAGGCACTGGGTTCCATCCTTAGCACCATATAAAAATAAAATAAAGATATTGTGTTCACCTATGACTAAAAAATAAATATTAAAAAAAAAATAATGTGTGAAAAAAGCTGGGTGTCGTGTCACAGACCTGTAATCCCAGCAGCTCAGGAGGATGAGGCAGGAGGATCATAGGAGGATTGTGAGTTCAAAGCCAGACTCAACAAAGCCAGACTTAGGGAAGTCCTAAGCAACTTAATGAGACTTTGTCTGTAAATAAAATATAAAAAAGGGCTGGGAATAAGGCAGGGTAGTTAAGCACCCCTGGATTCAACCCCCAGAACAAAAAAAAAAAAAAAAAAAAAAAAGGAGTTGGAGGGAGCTTTGCCAGTGTCCTTTCATTTTCATTCTATACCTCCATTTTTATTTGTTGTTTTGCAGTGCTGCGGATCAAACCCAGGGCCTTGTGCATACTAAGCAAGCACTCTACCACTGAACTACACCCCCAGCCCAACCTCCAATTTGTGGGATCCCACTGTGGTAAAACTCTGACTAGCAAATGAAACTATGAATTCATCTATATTTGTCTTATGCTAAATACTAAGAATATCAAAGACTAATAGGTTTCTTCAGGAAGAATTTTTTTTTTAAATATTTTTATTTTATTTTTGTAGTTTTCGGCGGACACAACATCTTTGTTTGTATGTGGTACTGAGGATCGAACCCGGGCCGCACACATGCCAGGCGAGCGCGCTACCGCTTGAGCCACATCCCCAGCCCACAAAGAATTTTTAACAAGAGCTTCTTTTTTGTCTAGTTGTTGATGGAACTTTATTCCATTTATTTGTTTACATGTGGTGCTGAGAAATGAACCCAGTGCCTCACACATGCTAGGCAAGCGCTCTACCACTGAGCCACAACTCCAGCCCAGGAAGAAATTTTTAGAATTAGAACTGTTAAGTATTTTGAATAGTAAACTGTTACAAATTTTTTATAAAGATACACTGAGTATAATAGTTCTCTTGCTTGTCTACAAATATAAATAAAGTTAGAGAAACAGTAGAAGAGAAAGCACTGGAAGAAAAGATAATATTGGAAAAATGTAGATTGAATTGACTTTATTTTTATAAGGATTTAAGAAAACATGAGCAAATATTGATGTTGCATTAAAAAACAAATAAAGTCTGTACATCATTCAAATTTTAAAAATCAGTCAGCTTGACACTAAAAAAATGTACTAACAGAAGTGTTTCATTTTAGAGCAAGATACTATCAGTGGCACATTACAACTAGACATACAAACATAAAGGAAATGCTAAAATAATGTAAATCTCTGAATCTCAAAGTGATCCAGTAGGTTGGAGGGAGCACCAATTGTCACCAATGTGGGACTGTGACACATTTTATCAGACAAAATAAACTACCACTGGTGATGAAGATAAGTAAATAAATAAACTATCAAGGGGGGAAAAAAGGAGCCCATGATGCCTGGAATTTTAGAGTAAATGGTTTATTTGGTTCTGTTGTTACATGGGTTTTGTCTGTTTTCTTCTTCAATAGAATAAGTAGATGTGTGAGGGTCCCCAGAATATTTCCCAATTATATCTTACTTCTTAGTACAGATAATTTTATATTGAAGGAGTAATGATTGCAACTCCCTGTCATTTAAGCCACTGAAGGTAATATTAAAATGTTTTAACTATAGTAGGCTTTGATTTTTTTTCAAAACTGTAAATCAAGAATAAAGAACTTTTCTGTCTCATAATTTAAGAAATGTACCTATATACTTCCTGAAAAAAATTGTTTTCAAGAAGCTACAATATGAAATTCTAATATACCAGGAATCTTGAAAAGAATAGTAGATGACCCAATTATAGTCATTTAAATTAAAATATTTAGGAATTCAATCTTGAGGGCTCAAAAATATAATTTTTGATTCCTTATGCACTAAATTTCACCAAGAAATGCAAAATTCTATCTAAAAGTTGGTACTGGTATATTTTAACATTCCTAAAGAAAAAAAAAAAATTCAACACCTACTCAATTATCCTGAAGGAAAATCAGATTAAAAGTAGTAGGGCATTTGTACATATCATATGTACGGATGTCTAAACAAACAATTTCAGTGGGTAAATGAATCATATTGAATATTTATAGACTACAATCACTTTCTTTTGAAGATGAAAAAGATTTAGTACCTAGGCATAGAGCCAGAGGTTTCCTAAAAGGAGTAAATACTAAACCTAAAAGGAGTAAATACTAAAACTCTTTGCACTGAAAAGAAATGCAAAAAATTCTTGTACTTCAAATCTTTAATTTACAAAAACTACAAGTAGTCCAACTGTTGCCAATTTATAATGATAAAAATTAAAACAAAAAACTCTGAACCAATTGTGTAAAATCTCTATTTTAACATTTTTAAATCCAGTTCATTTGTTCCAGTGAGTCAAGTAAGATTTAAACTCAAGGGGGCAGGGGCTGACAAAGGATTTTACCTTTTCTCAGGAGATAATCACAATTTCATTGAAAGAGGGTGAGTGGCCCCTTAGTGACTTGTATGCTTTAATACCTTCAACAAAAAGTCCCAATATTTCCATTTTTTCAAACCTCTGGAATATTATCCAGATATTTAAAATATTGACATCTAAGTTTTACATTAAAGACACCATACTCTGAAAACAGACCTGCTTAAATGTAGTTTGAATAATTGTGGGGTACTTACTGACAGAAGATTTCTTTAGCAAATACTGGTTTATTATATTTAAAAAATCAGCAAGACAGAATTTTAAAAATCTTAATTTACAATACATTGTAAACTTCAGACAATTGCCACATATACCACAGACCAGCACAGGTAAAAAGCGTTTTCTAAATGTTTATAAGACTTTGTATCTTCCTTTATTTGTTGGTTGGTATGAATTTTGCTGCAATAGAAAATAAAAGATATATGGTCAGAAAACGAAAAAGATAATTTCCTTTATCAACTCATAAAACTCTATTAGATATTTAAAATAAAATGTTAATATTATTGCACTGAGGTAGAAGAAACTGTTCAATAAACTGATCATTTTTCTTTATTCATGCAAGTACTCCTTGACAACTATTTATATATATATATGATTATTATTTGCAGTACTGGGAATTGAACTGAAGGCCTAAACATGCTAGGCAAGCACTTCACCACCAAGATATATCCCTCTCCCTGCATTTTAAAATTTTACTTTAAGGAAGGGTCTCACTATGTTTTCCAGGCTGAAATCAAACTTGCAATCTTCCTGCCTCAGTCTCCCCAGTAGCTGGGATTACAGGGGTACATGTACACTACTGTGTCTGGCTGACAAGTATGTTTTAAATCAACTTATGGTGATGGCACCTGCAAATATATGGTTCTGTTTTTATCACTTGTTGGTGAAAATAGTCGAACGCCCTTGATCCCCTAAAAGAACATTCTGTAAGTAGAATTTTAGAAAAGCTCTCAAACCACTGTTTTTTTTTTTTTTATTGTTGTTGTTTTGTTTTTTGGGGTACCATAGGGCTCTTAACTTAAGATACATCCCTGGCCCTTTTTATTTATTTTGAGACAGGGTCTCACTAGGTTGCTAAATTGCTGAGGCTTGCTTGGAATTCACTGTGTTGGCCTCCTGAACTGCTGGGATTATAGGTGTGCACTACCACACCAGGCTCCTCAAGAGAAAGGCTAAGATTTCCTTTAAAAGTTCCCTTATCTGCTGAGTAAAGTGGCCCATGTCTATACTCTCAGCAACTGAGAGTAGGAGGATCCAAGTTCAAAATCAACTTCAGCAACTTAGCGAGTCTCTTATCCCTAAATAAAAAGGGTTGGAAATGTGGCTTAGTGGTTGAGCACCCCTGGGTTCAATCCTTGGTACAAAAAAAAAAAAAAAAAAACTTATCCCAAAATATATGTTGTAGAAAAAATTTAAAAGCTTTAACTGGCACTGAAGATACAAGGATGTATCTGTCTCTTTTGGAAAGGTAATTAGTAAAGGGCTGTCTTCCAAAATCAAATTGTTGCCCAAGTTGAAAAACACTGATAAAACCACATGTTGGCAAAGATGTAGAATAACTGGAATTTTCATTCATTGCAGGAAGAAAAGTAAACTGGTATAACTCCTGTGGAGTTATACTACTAAAAAACTAAAATCTGCATATCTTATAAACAGCAATTCTGCCCCACAGTATATATGCAAGAAAAAAGCATATTAATGTATACCAAAGAGACATGGAAGTAGGAGTATTTATAGAAGTGTTATTCATAAAAGCCCCAAACTGAAATAATCCCAAAGTCTACTACTATAATAACATGAATCGATATCCTCAAAATAATGTATTTTGTATAATAATACAAAAGGAGTACTTAGCATATGAATCCACTTAATCTTAAATTCAAACACATACAAAATAAATCTACAATTTAATTTAAAAGTTATAATATAACATTTGAGGGGGATGAATAATAGAAGGGTCATGGGCAAGGCTTCTAGATGCTGATAATGTTCTTTATTTCTTAATTTGGTAAGTAATTATATAAAAGTGCCTACTTTGTAAAAATTCATTGAACTATTATGATTTATGTACTTGATTGTATTTGTATTATAGTTTAATAACATATATACACTTTTGGTACTGGGTACTGAGCCCAGGGCCTCAAGAATTTATTATAAAAAATTTATTAAAATAAAACAAGTCCCTGAGAAGAGTTTTTACTCACCAGTCGGATTAGCTCTTCCTTTATGAGCCTGGTGATTTCTGCCTTTGCTTTCTGCACAGCCAGTTCATTAGCACCTAATGATTGAATAGAAAATATATCATTTATATTACTAGAACTACACTGGATATTTATACAAGTCATGGAGGTTCAGAGGGAAATATAGTAGGTGACTTTTAGGAACACTGTAATGCCTGCCAAGGTAACTGTTCAATGCTGGTAGAATATCACCCATGTTACATAATGACTGCTTATTATTCTGATTACTTTTAGACTCTCAGATGTGACCAAGGGAGTTCTCAATACATGCAGTATTAATAGTTCTGGTATACTGATTAAAAACAGCAAAGAAAAGCTGATTAGGAATATATCCAGAAGAGAATACAGCTAAGAGGAAATACAACTCCCTTGGTTCATTCATTTAATAAATATTTACAGGACCTTTTTGTGTCCTGTGAGTCTGCAAATGTGTGAGGAAAATATTCATCTGTATATTATTTTTTGGTACTAAGGATTAAACCCAGGGGCGTTTAATTACTAAGCCATATCCCCAGCCCTTTTTTAGATTTTATTTAGAGACAGGGTCTTGCAGAGTTGCTAAGTGACTCACTAAGTTGCTGAGACTGACTTTGAACTTGTTATCCTCCGGCCTCAACCTCTTAAACCGCTGGGATTACAGGTATGCCCAGATGAACAAAGTCTCAAAGAATAAAAGAGGACTATCCAGGTTGTGGGAATGATAAAAGTATTTTGCAAAAGGAACCACATGTGTTACGGTACAGAATTAAGAAAAGCAGGCTTCATTATTGAAGAGTAAGAGAAGTGTAGAATCGTCGGAAAAAAGAGCATTAGAGAATACTGTAAGGTAGCTTACTGCATGAGAGGGCTGGAGACACTCATCCAGTTACTAATTCCAGAAATGTTTAGCACCCACCATGTATGATATATTATAAGAGATTCATTATACAAAGAACCCATTCATGCCCTTTACAGTCTTGCAGACTACTAGAAAAACAAACTTGTAAAGCCATTACAACAGAATGATTAGGAAGCAATTTATCAGAACAACCCCCCCACACACACTCATTTTTTGTGGTGCTGGGGTTGGAACCAAGTGGTATTCTGCCACTGAGCTACATCACCAGCTCCCCCGCTCCCCTCTTTTTATAAAGTTGTAGTTGGACACATACCTTTATTTATTTATTTATTTTGAGTGAAATTTGAGAGGGGGGGGATTTTTTTTAATATTTATTTTTTAGTTTTCGGTGGACACAACATCTTTATTTTATTTTTATGTGGTGCTGAGGATCAAACCCAGCGCCCCGCACATGCTAGGCAAGTGCGCTACCACTTGAGCCACATCCCCAGCCCACCTTTATTTTATTTGTTTGTTTTTATGTGGTGCTGAGGATCAAACCCAGCGCCTAGGTGAGTGCTCTACTGCTGAGCCACAACCCCAGCCCCAACCAGCCCTTTTTAAATTATATTTTGAGATAGGGTTTCACTAAGTTGCCCAGGCTGGCCTTGAACTTGTGATCCTCCTGCCTCAGCCTCCTAAGTAGCTGGGATTACAGGTGTGTGCCACTGCTCTTGGCTCCTGGAAAAACTTTAAATTTCACTTCTAAGAAGTTTTCCCAGACTTCTCCAAGTAAAGTGCTTTCTCTCAGTGTTCTCACAATACTATATTCACACCACCATGAAAGTACATTTCTGAGGGAGAATGGACAAGATGTTTTTTCTGAGTGGATGTGAATAGTGAACAAGTTTAGATACTAGAAATTGACTAGCAAGTAAGAAGCTATAAGGAAGGAAGATACTGAATCCAGGAGGAAGAGCAGGTGTTTTTAGCAAAGCGAGTAGATGAAATTTAATTTTGAAACTGCTGTAATTGAAGTTATGGGACACACGGCTGGAAATATAAATGAGGTCTAGAAAGCCATCAAAGGTAAGTGGGGTGGGATCTGAAGCCAGGGAACCATACTCAGGGAGTAGCTAAGTATAGGTACAAGGCACAGTGAACATTCATAACAGGAAAAGAGCTGGACCAAAATAGAAGAGAGTCTGAAATGTCAAAGAATAAACAGACAAGTTGCATTGCAATGCAGAGAGCTACTTCTTTCTCTCTGAAGGAAAGAGTTCATAAGACATGAGATAAATCCCCCCCCCCCCCTTTACTAGAAGGGACTAACTTTCTTGAAGGATATGGACAATGGGCCCCAGGAAGAGAACTTCCCTTACTGTTTCCCTACCTGCCTTCCTGCCTGGCCCTAAATTAACCCTACCAACAAACCTCCTCCCATGGCCTGGTCCTGCTCACCAAAAGCAACTAATTCCTCCCATGACCTGGCTCTGCTAAGGACCTATAAAACCCACTGCCATTTTCCCCCTGAAGATGTGTCCCTCTGGTGCTGAAAAAAGCATTCATTGCTGGTCCATGAGGTCTCCCTCCATTTTTTCTTTTTGTATTTGCTTTCATTTCTGAGAAAGATGTGGCAACAGTTTAACAAAGAGCAAAGGGCCAAGGGGATGGCTGTAAAGTTATAGCAATATATTTAAGTCCTTCCACCACCACTAAGCACAACATTTTTTTTAAATTAATTTTTTTTAGTTTTACATGGACACAATACCTTTATTTTTCTTTAGTTTTATATGGTGCTGAGGATAGAACCCAGTGTCTCACACGTGCTCTACAACTGAGCCACAACCCTAGCCCCTACACACATTTTTAAAGATATAAGAAAGGTGGAGTGTTAGAAAGGAAAAGTGGATAAAGGTGAGAGCAGGGTAAAAGCAAGAGCTAAGTCAGACCGAAAATTACAACCAAGGGGCTGGAGTTGTGGCTCAGTGGTAGAGCGCTTGCCTAACATGTGTGAGGTACTGTGTTCAATTCTCAGCACTACATATAAATAACTGAACGAAATAAAGGTCCCTCAACACCTTAAAAAAAAAAATTACACCCAAAACAAAATTTGGAAGAAAAATAAGTTGCTTGGCATGAGTTGCTGGGAAGCTCATTGTTGGTATTCTTGTGTTATTTTAACAAGAAAAAAATCAGGGATTGGGGTGTGGCTCAGTGGTAGAGCGCTTGCCTAGTATGTATGGGGTACTGGGTTCGATCTTCAGCACCACATAAAAATAAATAAATAAAAATATTGTGTCCATCTACAACTAAAAATATTTTAAGAAGAAAGAGAGAGAGAGACAGAGAAGGAAAAAAAGAAGAAGGAAGGAAGGAAATCACATGCTCACCTAGATCCAATTGGAAGCATAACTTTCCTACTTTAGCTAGAGCTTGACAATGAGGACATTTAAATTTTTGACTTATGTAACTTCTCTCGGTAATAGGTTGCACATGTTTATAGGCAGCAACGAGAAAGAGGCATTTCCTTTCATTGGTCCTAAAACAACTCTGGTTGCTTTTAAGGGATTCTCCACTAGTAAAAAGAGAGGGTCATACAACAGGCTATATAAATTATACAGGCTGACTTAGGCATGTAAGTCCTTCCTGTTCTCTTTCCCTCTGCCTGGTGGGAGGCCTGGAGCTGTTGAGCCACACAGAGCCTTCAAGGAGCCAGGCAGTGGGGTCCCTCCAATTACAGAACTAAAAACAGATGACACTAGGCTCCTTCCACACTAGCAACACCTGCTTTCATCCTGTTAGCTGAGTTTGCCTGGAGTTTCAAAAACTACATGATCCTTTAAAAAATCTAATTATCTCTAAAAATTCTAAAAGCTTTAGAACAATTTAATTACCGATCCCCAGCTTTTATTCAGCATCATTATGTCTCTAGAATACTCTTTAAGATTTGTTTTCGATGAGGTTACTTTTTTACTGGGAAAAAAAACTGCCTAGATAATCATAAAAATTAGATGTTATTTACTGAGTGTGGCTGACAGTGAAGAGAAGTGACCAGGATCAAACTAGGTGGAAAGAAAAGCAAGCAGAACCTGTGGGCTGAATACAGTAGTAGGTATTTAACTTTATGGCCACTGATAGCAAAGGAGATGTGTTTTCATAAAGTTATATGTAAGTTGAACTATGATAATATAAATAAAACTATATTACACAAGGATAACTATTTTTAATAAATCACACACACAAAAAGATCCTTTTTCAAAGCAAATAATCACTTTTCTGACTTACCTCTTTATTAAAGCAGACATTTAAAAATATGGGTTTTGCTTAATGATTACCATGATATTCAAGCAGAGAATAAAGGTCTGGTTCCATGTGTACCAGAAGTTGCACTATCAGATTCCTCTGCATATCCTTGTCTCTCCATCCTATATGGCCTAATGAACACAGTAGCCCAAACCTGTCCAGTTCCAAGCACGGAGAGATGTAAGTTTTATTTTCTCTGCTTGAACATCTAGATGCCAGTAACCCCCATTTTACTACTCACTGAGGAAGAATGTCACATGATTTGGAAAAATAATGAGCCCCTGGCAGACAGAAATTCTTTAAGAATACATGAAACGATGCCATTTTAAAATTTGACTTGGGCTGGGGTTGTGGCTCAGCGGTAGAGTGCTCGCCTCGCATGTGCGAGACCCTGGGTTAGATCCTCAGCACCACATAAAAATAAATAAGTGAAATAAAGGTGTTGTGTCCAACTACAACTAAAAAATAAATATTAAAAAAAAAAATCTGACTTCGTGGTGGAGCACATCTGTAATACCAGCTACTTCAGAGGCTGAGGCATGAGGATCTCAGAATTGAGGCCAGCCTAGGCAATTTAGTGAGACCCTGACTTAAAATAAAACCTTAAAATAGGGCTGGGAGGGCTGGAGTTGTAGCTCAGCATGCAAACAAAAAAAAGTATGATCAATTCACAGGAGGGAAAAAAGAAAAAGAAATTAATAATAAAAACTTTAAACTTTTATCAGCTCAAAGAGCTAAAAGAAACCTTCGACAAAGAACACAGCTGGGGCTGGGGCTCATCCGTAGAGTGCTTGCCTAGCATGTGTGAGGCACTAGGTTCGATTCTCAGCACCACAAAAAAATAAATAAAAATAAAGGTCCATCGACAACTAAAGAACAAAAATAAAACACCATTAAAAAAAATAAAATAAAGAA